TATATATATATATATATATATATATATATATATTTATTTATTTATTTTTATTACATAACAATTCTAGTTCTCAAATTTGATTGGCTGAATGGCGTTCCAGAAGTATGGAAGCCTGTTTCCGCCACGAAATAAAACGAACAAACAAACCAACCAACAAACAACAAAATACTTTTTGCAATTCTTTTGATATAAACTGGCAATTCTGAGAAGAAAAGTCTGAATTGTGACATATAAAGTCGGAATTTCTAGATTATTTTTATTACATGGCAAAATAAATAAATAAACGGAATGTGAATTCTGAGAAAAAAATCCGAATTGTGAGAAATAGCCTATAATTCAGATTTTAAATTTCGCAATACTGCCTTTTTTACCCTCAGAATTGGGGAAACAAAGTTCGAATTGTGAAATATAAACACGCAATTAACTTTAGCCTATTTATTTATTTATTCAGGCGAAAACGAGCTTTCAAAAGTAATATTTACATACCAATCACAGGATGGAACTTAATGTAGCCTATGTATAAATGTTTGTTTGTTTATTTATTTAATTCCAAGTTGTTCAAAACTAATGTAAACGCTGCAAACCAGCGCAAATGCAGTTTATTATGGTCGGGCTCTAAATCAATTTAATAGGACAAGACGCTCTCAGCTCAGCGGCGCTGATGCCTCTCTCGTGAATTCTGCGCATGCGCGGCGTTCCCAAATATTACACGCGTGTTGTGTGCTTGATAGGAGGGTGTTACTGCAACGGGATGTTTCACTACGGCTTTCTGGATGAAGAGCAGGCGAATAGTCTCCGTTTATTAGAGAAATCCTACAGTGCGAGCAGATATGCGGGCTGAATCCTCAGCCTCGGACTGAGAATGGGTTAGACGAGCGATGGTTGTGTTTGAAACTCTTCCCATCAGGAGCAAAACAATGAGGTCAACAGCAAACAGCCACGGGGACTGATCAGTGTCATTCATTCCTGGACTTTCTGTCCTCCTCTTTGTCGTTGAGATGATAGTGGAGCTGGTGTGCAGCGCGGTGGCTCTGCTCCTCTATATGAACACACTGAGCGCTGATTTCTGCTATGATGACAGGTACAGTCCTTCCCCAGCACTTCACCTCAACAGTTAAGCACAATAATGACAGCATTGGGACAGGTTTGTTC